TGTCTGCTGGCATCCAAATGAAGACCATAATGAATCAAGAGGTTAGCAAGATTGACCAGAGGGATGTCCTGATACTCATGGGGAGCCAAATTAAATGCTTTTTGCAAACAGGTGATAGCAAAGGTGCTATTTCCAACTGCACGCCAGTACAATCCAGCTTCATTAAGCACAAGCCATAGAGGATCTTCTGGCTATAGGAGAGTCAGGGAAAAGGATGAAAACGCCCACAAAGAAGTGTCTCAGGAAGACAGAATTGCCTGCTCTTTGGTAAGAAACACACAAACCAACCTCATCCTTGTATACTACCTTATTAACTAGATAGAAATTACACTTTGCTGTGACTGCCAGCAGATTACTCAATCTGCTCTACTCAAATTGACATGATTTACAGTCTGAACTGTAATTTAGTAGCAGCTGTTGCTCACGCTCTACTCATATGACTGCCTTATCATGGCCACAAAATCCCTTAAAATATACAAGTGATAACGGTTAGCTTGCTTTAGGAAGCAACATTTGTGAGCCACTTCAGTCTCTTAAAATTACATTAATACAGATCAATGTAGAAATGCTACAATTTGAAGGTCAGGCAGCTTTTAAATTGTAGCTAGGTGTGTTTCCAGGTCCTACATCCAACATCAAGATTTCCCATCAATTTAAGGTTTCAGAGTTGTTTTTTTTTAAGATTCAGTTATCTATTTGTCTTGTGAAAGTTGACAAGTGACACACATTAGATACTGTTTAAAGATTATAAAATAGCAAGCAACAAGTGAGGGCAGGCGGAAGAATGGAGGAAGTGTCAAATACACCTTGAACGTTCCTTCCTCCTCTTTCACCTGTAACAGAAAAAACATCCTAGAGGAGAAATAGCAAAACTTTAAAATACTGACAGGTGGACAGAGCTATGTAAAACATCCACTTTTAGATGGAGCAGTGTGAAATGGTTTAGGAACACTTACATTCTAGTTTTTAATACTTTCAGCATTCCGTGATACCCAATTCTACAAGGAGTTTAAAGTATAAAAGCAACAACTGAAAATGATGTCCCATCCAACCTACACGTCTGAAGCCAAATGCATGCATGAGTAGGAAACATGCAGCTAGGATTAAAGAAGTGAAACAGATAAGGATCTTTACAGTAGTATTGTATTAACGCAATACAGCCGGCATTACAGTAATACTGTGTTGAAAAAGTTAATCAGTACAAAGATTTTCTTCCAGATTTTAAGAACAACCTCACACAGGAGGGTTCTATCTGTGGTTCAAGATGAATTGAAAGATATCAATAGGATATATTTTTTATATATATTACATATTTTATATATATCTTTGTTCAGAGTACCTTACATAATCTATAATTGTAAGACTATTTATCACCCCTATTTTGCAATGCACATACCTAATATTACTTGCATGTTTTTCATGCCAAACTCCTCATTGAATTACACTCCATACACAGGTCTCAATGACCTTTCTTTAACTAAATCCTCAGCAAGTTATTAGCACTTTGTCTTTCCCAATACAAAGATACCAACTGTGGCACTCCTGCTCTAGAAAGTTTATCATGAGTAGAACAAGCATGACACAACAGTGTTCTTAACATCAGCATCTAAATGACTGAGAAGTTCAGGCTTTTAACACGAAGGCAACAGAATACTACAGTTGAAACCAAAATACCTATGCACTGCAACAGTAAGACATTGGACATGTATATGACTGTTCTGAACAGCACAGTAATAGGAATCAACTCCTACTGTTAATTTTTTCTTCTGGGTAAGACAGATGCACATAGTAAATGGTACTGATTTTAGACTTAAAACAGTACATACACACTGCCTTGACACAAATTGTACAAGAGAGTTAATTTGAGAAATATCAGCTTCACATGTCAAAGAGTCAAGCCCTATCTCAATGCTTCCTGTCATTTGACTTGTGATGACTCTCTAAGACCCCATGCAAGATGGAAGTGGCATTCCACAGGGTGTTACACAGATGTACATTCTTTGCCCCAGAATGCTAATTATCCTGACAGAAGACTGACAGAGGGTTGGTTTCTCTGGAGGCGGGAGGGAGGGGAAGGCAGGGTATTGGGAAGGAGGAGGAAGAGCAAAAGGCAGGCATATAGGGAGGGGTGAAAGATGGAGGAGTAGTTCCAAGCTATTTCTCTCAGTTAAGTAAATGGCTGCCAGGATTAGCTAATGTATCACTGCTCCATGTCCTGCAGTCACAACAAGAACAAGTAACTACGGGGCTGTTCGGTCCACACTAAGCTAAGTTAAATGGATACTTCCCTATATGTTTGTGCTTTACTTGCAGACATGCATTTTTAAGTTAGTTTTATCTCAGTTACAGGCAGCAAATAAGCTTATTTCTTGCACATCACTGATGGACTTCTTTAGAAGTATAGAAACAAGCCTCAAATAAGAATTCTGAATTTATCTCATGCTACAGTTTTGACATACCTTTTTCATGGCATGATCTAGAAATGCTCCTATCGTCGCCTGTGTAATAGTTTGATTGTCGATACGAGAATGCAAAACCTGGACAACAAAGATTTTAATTTTTTTTTTTAAACAACTGAATAAATTTTACAGTATATATCTACATGGGTCATTCAAGTCTCACTTCCCTAAGTCTTCCTTTTAGTAAAGGGCAGGGGGGGTTGGGAATTGTTCTAAACAGATGATGTGAACATGTAACGATTAAAGCAGCCAATCTCCAGAAAGCAATATGAAGGAGTACTCTCAGCCTAAAGTTACCAACTTTGTAGAATACAGTAGTTATTGGAAACCCCAAGAAGATGAATCATGTCAAGTGAGTGTTAGAAGTTTTAAAAGAAAGCAGTAATTTTAAATAGTAAATTAAATTTCCTATTCTGTGTGCTTTTGGTCAGCATGTGAAAGAAGTCAGACAACAAGCCTTATGCTAAGTGACAGGTTCTCCCTTTCTCCAGCCCTATTAGAAAGCACTTGCTCCCCTTTTTTGGAAGTACTGATTGGCTTGTGATATCAAGTAATCTTTTAAATATCAGAATCTTTCATGTTCTGAGTAAGATTTTTAAGGCAATAAAGAGGAGAACTTTGAAACAGAAGAAAACCAACGAGAAAATGTCTCTTACTTGTCTTGCTTGATCATCCGGCATCTTGAATTTCAAATCTAGATTACTATCTAGTTCCTTGACCAGTATGTTTAGAGATTCATTGTTACGAGCATCAGTAATAGAAGAACAGTCTGGTGCCTGTGTTTCTCCATACCCAACAGTATCTCTTGGGATACTCAGGATTGGCAGGACTCTAGCAATAAAGAGAACCAACACAAATTAATAGCATCTGCTGCATGTCACTCATCTATAGACATAAGAATCAGCTATATATCAACTGATATGCCTCATACTGTAGACTGCCATGAGACATGAGCTGCAAACCAGGACAGTTCAAGGACCACCCTTCCCTTGAAAAGTCATTAATAAATAAGGTCTTTACTTTATATTTTTAAGCATAGAATACCTGTAAATAATGGACAGTGCAGTAGAGATAAGACACAGAAGGTTCTCATATTATGCTAATAAGGATTATATGAAGTTTAGGACTAAACAGGTAAGTGAAAAAAAAATGCTGAAGCTTTGTAAACTAAAGTTTGATTTTAAAAACATCAAGAGGTAGCCAAATTATTTAATAAGAAAATTCTAAGTTGAACACTGTTTTTTTCAAAGGAAGCTTCAGGACATTTCTGGATAGGAACCTTTGCTTTAACACATGCTCAATACTAGAATTATACCCACTGAGAGAAGAAAGCTTTCTTACTATCAGTATTTTAATGTTAAGTGAGTAGGATATTATGAAATTGCATTGATCTATGCAAGGTAGCTATTGCAACAGACATTTATTTTATCCTATGTAATAACAAATATAGTAATAGATGACTATTCCACAACTAAACTGGTTTTCTACCTCTGTTCCAAAGGAACAAGCCAGTGCTTTCCACTCCTAATCCTTTTTTAGTATTTTTTGGGTCTTCACAATTTTCTGTAACCATAACTAAAGCTAAGAGTATGTATGTAATGTACAAGTTAACTGTAGTTATCAAATAGATACTCATCTCATTCTCTCTCTCAAGGTCTTTTTTTTTTTTTTTTAAATATACTCTACATGACATTCAGACTTGTGCTTAAATCCTCATTCTTTTAGTAATACTGTAGATATTTCATGTATTAACCTTGTAGTAACAGTCAGGGAAGAATCACCATGATCTGACTGTTACAGTTACAGCAAAGACGACAATAAAGGAAAACACCCCCCCTTCCCTGGGATGGCCAGAGAAATAGGTCTGAACACACCTGTGCTGTTGATTACTAGTTGCATCCATCCTCTCCAGAAAGAAAATACTCATTAAGACATCAGTGTGAAAATTTACAAATATAATTTAAAAAAATCAATACTTGCCTGAATCCCCTATTTTCTGGAGGCAGGAAATAAGTTGGCAGTTCTTCTGGATCAGGAATTTTGGGGAAAGATTTCATGCACTCTGATCGCTGAGGCCAAAGAATATGCTGTTTGTCCTAAGGAGGAAAGGAATTATTTTTTATTAATTAGAATATTAAAAATGTTCAGAAAATAACAAGCTAATAAGAACATAAGGAATAGTCTGGAGGAAAAAAAGAGCAGAGATCTTTAGAGCTATTATTTTTCCATCTTTTCTGGAATATCAGCAGTTCAGCTGTACTGCTTTATTCGCAGGAGATGTTTACAAAGGTAGCTAAGAACAAGCCCCTCTGCGCTGTAGTAGTTTCAAATTATGGGAAACTGGTACAGAGACACTACAGAGATGCTTATATGTTGAAGAAACTCAGAATGCTACATTCTCCAGTGCTGCCACACATCAAAACTGTAGCTAAGAAGTTTCACATAAACAAGGACAAGATTCACTCTCTCAACTCCTCTCTTTGTAAGGGCAAAGCTTATCCTCTCTACTCACTCTGTTGGATTCTACACTCCACACTGAAACGACAGAACGAGCAACAGGGGAAGACTGCAAGGACTGGCTTTGGTCGCTTTGGTTTGCATGAAGATCCAAATTCACTGATGTCATACTAGAAGTTGAAGAGTCTTCACCAAACTAGAGACAACAGAAAAACAATATTTAGCAAAGAAAAGAGATGGTATATTACTGGCTGAATTTCTGGACTTTTTTTTTCCCCCCCACCATTTAGCAGTTAAGCCTCACTGATGAGCTGAAATTTGGGTAGCAGAAAAAAAAATGGAAATTTAAGCCTCTTGATCCACTCACACCATGGAAAAGTAATATTCATATTGTAAATAAGGCAACAACGAAAACACAAGTGCAAATCAACAAAAAAATGCTAAAAGGTACCAAGCAAACATTTCTAACAGAACACAAACAAAATCTACTTATCTAGACTGCACAGCTCTAGTTCAAGTCAGACTTACTAAGACTCATGGCTTGCAAAATTATCTTGATAACCTGAATTTATAATTCTTATAATAGGAAGAACATCCAAGAAGAAAACAGAGCGTAATTAAAAATAACTATTCCTAAACTAGTTAATGGGAAAGTCCAGAACACATTCCACACTGCAAAATAAATGAAACCATAATCTTTATCTGTAGTTCTAGCACAACAGTGGTGTTGCTTAGGTGGCTGTCATTCTGGTTTTCAGTGTTAGTATACACCTTGCTTCCAAAACGTCTCAATATTCCTGTATCAGATTTCCTTGGTGCACTGTCTAATTCAAGATATACAATCAGCAAACACTCACAAAACTGGGCTAACACCTTACTTTTGGGCTGCAAAAGCACTCGCTAGATTCAACACCATTAAGCTCTGCTCTTCCACTTGTTAATTGCTTATGGCAGTTTTGTGCTCCTTCTGGTAGGAAAAAAGATTAAATTGGAAGGAGCATGCAAAAGTTGCATAGTTTGAGTCATACGACAGTGTAATAAACAAAAGAAAATATGATCCATTTTAAGGCTGTAGAGATACAATATTATTTTAAGCACAGTTTTAAGCTGTTATGTTGGAATATTTTCACTAAAGAATAATTCTTGTTCCATATACCACACATACATTAGAAAAAAAACCCCTAACTCCTTAGAAAACCTTTGCCTCTTCATTGATATTAGCTGCCTAATGTTTTTTCCTGTCCTCTCTGAAGGAAACTAAATTGGAAAATTAAACATGGTACACTCCTGCTAGCATGCCTGAAATGTACTATATTTATGTAAGAGAAAGCTGTAATTCCTCAAGGTGAGGATTCTTGTACTTCCTAGAAAGAAACACTTGTCTGTTCTATGCAGGTTGACAAAGTAAAGGAGTCAATATAGAAGGGACTGGCAACTCATAGGAAACTAAGACTTTGGACTAAAACAAAGTGTTTCAATTCAAATACTTCTAATAGTTCTCTTTTCTAAGTAAAAGAAAGTCTTATACAATAAATCCTCTAAATTTCTATAATCCACAGTCAATCTCAGCTTGTATTACTAGCAAAAGAAACTAGCATTAAATACTTTACACTCTGGAAAATGATTTCTCACTATAATTACCACACACAAAATATACCCCCTTTGTCAAGCCTCAAAAAAAATTTAACTATTTTGCTAATAAGGCAAATGGGATGCAACTTAAAGCAGTGGTATCAATTCACAGACAAACCTGAACATATTCCACATTTTCAAAAATGTCTCCGCGGTGGTAACGAACAGGCTGGTCCCACTGGCAGTGCAAGCTATGCTGCTGGTTACCCAGTCTACAAATCTGATGGTTCCCTGCAGAGCACAACACATTTTTTTTCTACTATATAAGTGAGGTTTCCGAGGAGACAAAGACAGCACACAGACAACCCCTCCACCCCCAATTTGGTCAATCCTTTTTATTTATTTAATTAGCACAGATGAAACTCCGTCTTCGAAAGCCTAGAAAAAAAACCTGTTCAAGAACATATTGCAATCCCTTGTTTTAATAAGCAAAACACAAGAGCCACTCAGGGCCATCTTAATATATAGAGAAGTTATGTCCTAATATTAATCTGAATATGTGCAATTCTTCATTGCTATGATGAGCATGAACTCTAAAAAGTTATACCTAATTGAGCTTCTTTTGCCATCTGTGTCTCGTGAATAATGTTCCTCAAGATTTGTTCCTCCTGGATGAGCTTGTACTTGTCTAAGACATCTTGTTGCCTAAGGTAATGGTCATGCTGCTTCTGATATTCCTTCAATTCATTTAGTGTTCGCTGAAGTGATCTTGAAAATTCAACAGTAGAAAAGGTTTACTTTGCATGCTTTTTAAAATATCAGCTTTTCCTATAATGTTGCACAGTTTCAACTTTGGGTTTCTAAAAGTATTCTTATGAATAATTTTATTGCACAGTCAAAGAAATATAGAAAGCTGAAAATCATTGTTTTATTTGAAATGTAAATAATTGCTGCAACAGAACAACAGAAGTGAGATTGTATGAATCGACACTAGGATGCTTCTTTAGTTACCTATGCTGGGCTTCCAGTTTTTGCTCAAGTTTTTGTTGACACAAGACAGCATGCTTCCTTTTTACAGCTTGCTCAAACCCTGGTTTGGCCTGTAGAGCATGATCATAACACAGGACCGAGTGGTTGTACTCTCCAAGCATCTGAAGAATGACAGAGAATCAGCCATTGTTCAGTAATATTTAATAAAAAAAAAATATTCCATTTTTAAAGAAGTCATTAACTCAAATTTTAATTTGTGGTAACAAGCAGCCTGTCATATCTGAAACTCAAGCCACTATATCTGCTAAAGAAAGGCTTCAGTAGAGCTTCCCTGGAATTTATTTCCAAGTGCAGATAAGAACCTTTGCTGAAAGACAGACTTTTGGATAAAAATATCTTGATAGAATCTTAAACATTAAGCATGAAATGCGTGTGGAACACAAGGCACATTGTAAAAGAGTAAAACATTACAAGTCAAGGCAGCAAGATTAAATAATAATTGGTTTTCTAAAAGTCTTAGAAAATAAAGGTAGTATTTACTGCGTATATATTTCCCAAAGTGTAATAGCTGGTAAAGAAGTCACTGTAATCCAGAGCTGCATGGACCACAATAGCTGCATCTGCAGAGAAGTGAGCCCGGTGCAGAATATTTGCCAAATTTACTAGTGCAATATCTTTATTTTGCCTAAAAGAAGAAAAGAAAATGAAATGAAGAAAAGAGAAAACAGACATTAAAAGAAGGTCAAACTGTGTAAGAATCATGCATAAGGATACATTCGTCAGTCACATATTAAATATATAATTTGATAGAAAAATGTCAAAATTATATATATGCCTAGTATAGCAAATAAAGACTAAGAACAAGGAACATGGATTATTCCTTAGGATAGTCTTAGAAACTAAAACCTGTTTACTAACTATGATAACCAGAAAAGCAATCTGAAAAGAAATCCTTATTAGCAATTCTTACCTTGAAGAAAAATGAAGGGCACGCATGGCACATTCTACTACTTGGTATGGCTCATTCTTTATTCGCCAGTAAAAAGAAGCCATATTATAGAGTACCCAGGAAGAAGAGTTCTGCCGTAAAGAGAAACACATGAACTGTACTAACTACTAAGACATGAACTAAAAGGTTAATTAGGTCTTTTATTACTACGGGATGGAAAGCTGAGCATCAAATCTGCTCTAAGTTATCCTCTTCCTCTAGAAAGCTGCCATTTGTCAATAGTTGTGAATGTTCAGGAAGAACGAACTAGCATATAAATGTATTAAAGAAACAGAACTTCTATCTTTCAGACAGGTTAAAATTCAAAATGAGATGAAATGAGAAGGGGCAGCAGTTTAAGAATCAGCAGCTTAGTTGGAGTTCAGTGAGAGTTCCTATATTTTGCAGGAAGGCCTTTAATAAAAACATACACATTTCAGTACTGTTGCTTCTTCTTTCTTTAAGTGCCTGCATTTTTGTTTAAAAGCTCTTATTACCTTGACAGAGCAATGAATGTGGCTTGCCAGACCACACAAATACATGAGTCATTAAAGACGACAGTAAGTATCTATTTACTGGCTTTGCTGATGCTTTCTCCTACCTCTGCTTGCCTAGCAGAAAATGTTTTTAGTCTGCCTTTTGTAACTGAAATGTAAGCAAAGATATATGTGCAAAACTAGTACTGGATCTGATCGCATGTACCAGGCATATCTAATCTTGTAGAGAACTTTCTAGTACTCTTTTTGTGCATACAGTAAGATCACAGTTTCATACCTTCATTAGCCCGTCATAAATACGATGACCTATTTCCTCTATACTTCTTCCCAGCCTCCGTGATAAGTATGTGAAGATTGGATCTTCTTTAGGTAACAAGGGTGCGGAAAGATTAACTCTTTCTTGGACACCCTACAATAAAATTGAACATAGGTATTTGCTGACACTTCAACTAAAAGTAGAGAAATATACACATGAGCATGACTCCCAGGAAAATTTACAGCTTGGTTATTTTACATTCCTATCTTCCTTTCGTACCAAGATCTTAGGGATGTGACAGGATAACGTCACCTTTGACAGATGAATGATATGTATTATTACAGCCAGGCAAGCACTAGAAGCAGCCAGAAGCAGCCTCTGCTTGTGAATGCTATAGGGGAAATATTCATTTCTGGTAGCACTGTGTATCTGGCAGCTATTGATTTTACTAGCGACCACTGAAGCATTTAACTCTTGTTTGTCAGGCTACATGCACACTATGAAAGTATCCCTACATTTCTTCTTCTCTTTCTTCCTTCCCCAACAACAAATGTATTCCTTTCAAAAGTACATCCAGACCCAGGAACAGAGCTAAAAAAATTCAGTTCCTGTTTTGTCCATAAGAAAATCCTTACTTGTAGATGAAAAGTCATTTTAAAGACTTGTAATAAAATAAATACAAAGATATAAGCACTAAAGCTGCATCTGCATTAGAAAATTTGCTCATATAATACTGTTGACAAAAACAATTTTTGCACCACACTTCCACTGTAACCTTTCTAAAGGAGATGAACTTTGTACTAGTAAAGAACAATTATCTGGGTTAGGGCTTGGCATTCAGACACAAAAGAGACAGTCAAGTATGTTAGGAGCTACCGACAAGCCTGCAAACAATTTTATGACCCTGAATCTTCGTAGAGTTTAATGACCCTGTTCAGCACTCTCCAATTTTCAGCTGAAACAATTCACAAGTTAGAAGCATTTCCAATGAAAGCTACCATTTTACTAGTGAAACGCGTGTTATGAAAACAAAATACTCCATTTTCTTAAAAATGCCCTCTAAAATAAGGCAAACAATAAAAGAGAAACAAGATCTGTATATCTGACGGAACTGTCCTCCTGTAAGCAGGTACTTTAATCGGAGCACAACTGTGGTTTAAAAAAAGTCTGAAATAGTCTTGAAAGATTACAATACCTTTCAACCTTGACTGAGAACTGCCAGTAAGGAGTTTTCTATTCCTCTTCCTGATGGGGGAAAAAAACATAATTGCATTTACTCACTTACCCGTAAGTGCTGAAAAGCATGAATACTGTATGGAAGATCTAGAACTTTTGTACAGTCTGGCTGCTGCAGGTCTGGAGGTACTGGTGACTTTGTGTCTATGTAGTCTTCAGGGCTGAGGACATAACAACATAACACAGCAGACTCCAGGTTAAAATACTGCTAAAGTTCATAAGAGACAGTATTGTAGTTGACGAACACAGTATTCTGATTTGACCATTAACAAAAATCCTGTGTTTGAGCACATTTCTGATGTCTTCCCAGATTTCAGTTGTCTCAGGATGTCATCACTATATGATAAAGTAAATAAATTTCTGTCTGCTTCAGAGAAAACATCAAGATTTGGATAGCCTCCAAAATGTATCAGCGTCAACCTAGTGTATCACTATTATGATTAATGATCTATCTGCCAGGCAAATGGCAATGCATGCAGATTAGAAGACTCTTCAACTGAAACAAACAAACAAACCCCAAGTATTAGTGAGAAGCCCAAATGAAGGTATCTGAAGATAAAATCATCTTTTCCCACTTCAAGTACTCATCTGATTATGTTAAAAAAACATAAAACTACAAAAACAAAACAGTCAGCCCTGAAGATGAATTACCAATGAAGCTGGATGTCAAGCAGACTGTCCACACATCCTTTACTTGCTAAACACAGGGGATGAAATATGACCAGAAGGTTCAACAGCTTGGTAATCAACAAGGGACATGATGGTAATCAACAGATTTTCATTCAAATTTAAGTCAAGACAGTTCCCACTACAAGAAGTGTATCTAGCTCAAAACATCCGAAGCACACTCAAGCAAATTCAACCCCCTTCTACATGATGCACTTCAGTTTAATTCGCATGTCTGGTCGTATCAGTACAGAGTTACAGTGGTAGAACTGACTGGGAGCCTGGGAATAGAACGAAGAAGTAGTTTCAAGGTAGGGCTAACATGGACAGTTTGGGGGAGACAGTATTTCTGTGTCGTACCCTTTCATAATTAGTGGCAGAGGTTGTTTCAATTTTATTCCGCACTAACACAAAATAAAACAACTGTCATCTAAAGAACAGTCAGTGACAGTATTTTTCTTTTTACTTGCATTTAGAGGTTTTGTTGATTTTTTCATTCAGTAAAAATCTTAAAATATAAAGCATCTTATTACCGGATATCTTTGCTCTCTAAGGTGATGTATGTGCCATCGTATAGATCTAGGTCCCCCAAGGGCACCTTTGCTTTAATGCAGTCCGGATCCTCTTTATTATGCCTTTGTTCCAGCCCTGTGTCTCTGTCCTCATTTTCCTCTATATGAATCTTTTGAGCAACTAACTGTTTCTGTAGGAATAAAAAAAAAAAAAAAAAAAAAAAAAAAAAAAAAAAAAAAAAAAAAAAAAAAGAAACAGAAGAATGTATACTGATGAAAGCAAACTCTATAGTTGCTAGGAGTTGAACAGTCAACTTTTTCCTTAAAACAAAGTCCACCTGAAGAAAACCTAAAACACTCTGTTCAAATTTTGGGAATATTCCTCTATATTTTATAACATCTGCAGGACATTTTTTGATTTAGATGGAATATAAATACTTTCATTAGAGATAATACAACTTGAATAGGCTCTTATTTCTCCTGCTGTACCTAAAAAGAGGGCTAATAGCATTCCAGATTCATGGTAGGCCATTCAGAAAAAGAACAGTTGTTAACAGTATGTCAGCTTTACCATATTTGGACCCTTTTCCTCCACTGTAAGTCCTCATGGAAATAATATTGGAGACTGCAAACAAAATGAACTTCTTAACCATTCAGTGCGCTAAGTACAACTGAGGTGGCAGGCTAATGCAAGAATTGAGACTAATTTCTGTAGATCAGCTTATGATGTGCCTTAGGAGCTACCTTTCACCCCATAAAGCTCATAGGTATTGATTACTATGAGCAGCAGATGGACTAAAGATCTGTCCCAGCACAGTAAGCTGTATTTAATTCTCACCTAGATCTGCAAATTGAAAACCTGTTAAATATCATAACGATTTGTGTATGTGAAATAAGAAAATTTGCATTTTTAAAGCCATACACAGTTGATTACACACTACTATGCAATACTAGAGATATATACAGTAGCAGCAACTTGTACAAGATCTTACAATAGGTAACTTCTGCTGAAAGTCATTTGTATGTCACAAATTGTACATTAGTGATTTCCAAACCCACAACCCATGTCCTGAAAAGCTTACAACTATTGTTCAATCCATAGCTAAAGTGTCCATTACCGCAAAAATGAGTATACCCTGATGAGAAAGACTGGCTGAACACAGTCACACAAGGGGCAGTCCTGCTTTTTTTCCTCCCTTCCACTTCTCCCATTCACCTAAAGCTACTTCTGGTGCTCATCTAACTTCCCAGTTAGCTAGTTAGGCTAATCTGACAAAATCAAAGCTGGCACAAGAGAAAAGAGTGCATGGCCAGAAGAAAGACTGTGAGCTGTTAGCTTGCCCAGCCCATATTATATTTAAACTTTAGTTTAAGTTACCCGTTTGAAGTTCATTAAAGCCCTTTTCAGAAGGGTGTTCTCAGACCCTTTTTCCAATAATAAACGGGCTTGAAGAAAAGCAGGGGTGACCTGCTCTGTGTTCTTCTGGAATGTAGTAGTCAGCAACAGAATCCAGTACCTAAATGGCTTTACTTAAAAATGTTAGTATTTATGGATAACAACAGGGAATGATGCAACTGGGGACAATGATAATCAGTTGAGCAAACTTGAGGCACAAAATTCTTGAGATCTGAAGAATTCTTCATCCTTTCACTGAAGCAGTGTTATGCCAATAATGACTTCTGTTCCCGATCTAAGTCTATCACTAAAAAGCCTGTGAAAAAAATAACCTTTATTTTCAGAAATTAGTACTTAATGTTATACTTTACCTCCAGTTCTTTGAGGTAGTTAACTGTTGTTTCTTGTCTCATTAGTATTACCAAATCATGTGGGTTCCTCAAGTTCATTGGTGAATCCACCTGCAAGACATTTCAACAGTCCATCATGTAAGACATTCCCCTAATTAGCATGATTTAAAGAAGTTTTTGTCAACTTTCCAAACAACTTGGACACATTTCTGGGACTCTCTCTTATTGCAGTGCTGCATCTCCAGCAGCAAATTTCCTGGTCATTTTAATGCGTCCCGTCAACAGACTAAGCCTTGGGCCATGTTCTCTTGGCTGTGAGTCAGATAAGCTCAAATCTACTTTCTTTGGACTATTGACTGTGAAGTCTACATTCCTTGCAAACCTCTCTACTGAGTAAGAATCCTGTCGCCAAACCTAAGGGTGGTTTCGGCTAAATTTGGCTAAGTATTCCTTTCCAAATCAAAAGCTGAACAGCTTCTTTTAGGGTGACCAAGCATCTGCAATGATCCAGAGAAGCACAGAAAACACCATGTAAAAAAAAAATTAACGATGTTGTTAGCTGAAGCATTAAAGTCTACAGCATTTTACTTACAGTCACATTTCGTATTTCCTCCTATGGGCCCCACCTCACTTTGAACTGGTTGCACACAAAACCAGAGTTACACACTGAAAGCAGCACTAGTTCATGCCTCAATTGCTAGAGGAACTACTGTGGTATGTGCAAGCAAATGAGAGATTAATTTGCAAAGAAAATAAGGGAAGGTTTTAAGCATTTAAGTTTTAAGCATTTAATTGCCCATTCCAAAATAGCACTGTTCCTCTGACATCTAAAGGTTGCTTGCATGATACTAGTGTCACTGAGAGTGAAGTCAACTATCAGCTCCACTTTCAGTGACAAACTGCATCTGGGGAGAGATTTTTTGCAGAAAGTTATGCAGGCATTACCATTTAGAAAGCCTTATTCTAAAAGATGAAGGATCTTGGCTTATCATTCATTCAGAAACAGAATGATATTCAGGGACAGCTTCTGTTTTTAACTTTTGATAAAACAGTCTCATGAGAGTCAGGTCTGAATTTAGTCTTTGGAAATTTGGAGTGGTATGTTACAAATCCAACGTGCACGGGTTGACAGAAAAGCACACAAGTACCAAATTCCTATCAACTATTACCTGGCAGCAGAAATCAAAGTGACACCAACAATCAAACAGCAATGTCACTGAATTAATTCATAAAGTTATGTCAATCCACCAGGAAATCATCTCAGCCTAAGCAGCATGCATGATATTTTTCTTTAGTCTTCAGATTTTCACTTCCAGATCTGACCTGTTTGTCACCAGCAAACGAGCACTTTCTAATAGCAAAACCCTTCAGCCCAGTAGAAAGTTAATATTATTAAAGAGGTAATGGCTGCCAAGGTTATTTAAGACCAATGCAGTGTGTAAACAAAAAGCTCTAAACCCAAAGCTTTAGTAGTAAATCCAACCTTACATTTATTTACATTTAATAATTTCTGACTCAAAGTTCAAGACTTCCACTGCAAGAAATTAGCAGAGTAAAGACTATTATTAGCTCCTAAAAATAAAAATCCATTTCAGGTACAATAATTTCAGAAAAAGAATTCTAATGGAAAAAATTAAGCAGCTACACTGGACAATCATGCAAGGTTTGCAGAAGAAACTTGAGCCAGCACATCCAATGCTTTCAGAGCACTTTTGGCAGCTTGTAAAAGTGAGCCAAATATACTGTATTAGTTCTTATACTCTTCAGTTTATACATTCATAGTATTAAGGCATTACAAAACGATAACTGAGGAAATAAAAAGCGTTCAGATCTATAAAAAAATGCTACATGACACAAAGGAAAACAGATTCTTAATTGAAAACCAGAAGAGATCTTATGATATCATGCCTGCAAATGAGGAAAATGCCTTCAACAGACATCAGTTTGGAGGATGATGGTGCTCAAACTTAAGAATTTCATAGAATTCAAAGTGCAATTTCCTAATCTGCTTAGATTGATCCAAAAAAAATCACCCTGCTGTCAAGTAGGGGAATACTCCCTTTTCTTACTACCTGTAATCTTACAGCTCCACTGAGAAACAGGTCAGCCAATACAGCTGAAAAATAACTTAAAAGATTAAACAATTAGTTTTCAGCCAGATCAGCAGGCTAATCTGAATTGGCCTCAGGTGAGCACTTCATCATCCCCCTCTCCATAGGGACAGCCACATGGCTCTCGAACTGCAACCTGTTCCTCTCAGATCCAGCCAGCAATACTGTCAAGACTTCTGGTTCATTACCCACCTTTTTACAACATCCCTCCCCAGATCAAACACGTTTTCTTTTACAGTGCTAGCCGTTTCTACACCTGGAAAAAGACAAAGCTGACCTACTCAGCTGTGAAGAGCACCAATACTGCATTTGCCATCCAGGGCAGTAATGCCACCTCATGAAGAATTTAGCACAGTGAGTAAGTAGAAAACAAAGACATAATATCCCCATAATCGACACAGCAGAGGTAACAGTAGCAGCAGTGGTAAAGTTAAGTGGGCAGCAGCACGTCCTGAAATGGAGAACGCACACTTGGAGTCCTGCAGGGCTCGCCACCTGGGTGCTCACACTTTGCCCCATCCTTGCTGCTCATGCTCAAGTGCCACCTAGCATCTTCCTCCTTTCCAGTGCAGCCATATGCCAAAACCCAGAAAATTATACCCTGAACAAAATATATATGACATGTCAGAACTTTCCTATGGGCTGCTGCTTAGAAAAATTCAAAGACACAACAACACACCCCAAAGATATGGAAAAGCCCTCAGAGCTTCACTCACCTGTCAAATAATTCTGTAGTCAGAAATACAGTAGTCCAAATAAAACATATTTGATGGATACCTGGAGACTGTTCTGGATTACACCCCTTCCTTCCCACAAGAAAAATATTCTAGGTAGATTTTAGAAGATACTGGTTTCATTCAGTCTCATGTCATGCTTGTTCTCTTATAGACACTTGCCGCCTCTATTTAATAGTCACCCAGAGACTGATCTGATTGTGGAAATGCCTCCAGTTTCAAGAAAGTATCTAAAACAAAACAAGAAGAGGCTGGTTCCACCAGAGAAGTTCTGCATAAAATATCAACTTATTTTTCTCTACTTTATGTCTGTTGCCTTTGCACAGTTGAAATACATCTTCACGGCATTCGTTACAGAAAATATTTCTTTAGACAGAAAACAGTAAGCAACATGAATGGTACTGGATCATTTTGAGGAAAGAGCACATTATATCCACAATTGCATATGATTTTATGGTACAAACAGTATGTACTTACTAGCTCATAGCCATAGCTCCCCTCTTCTATGACAGTTCAGGTATTTGCAAATAACTGTGTATTGAAAGCCTCTTGCTGTGAAATACAGGGTGCACGTGGCCCCTGTCTTACTAAGCTTCACCACAGTTGCTGACAACACAGTCCTGGGACCACTGGGATGAATAAAAGTTTGTATTTGTTCTGAGCACTGCTGAAGATGTGTGTGGCACAGTGTTTGTATTTAATGTCAGTTTTTAAACAATTAACTAGTACAGAAAACAGAACAAAACTTTGCTCTGGAAATGAACATAGGTCTGACTTCAACAGTTAAAACCTTATTAGAGGGCAGGCGTTATTTCAAAAGCTGTCATGTTTTATCCTAATACTGTAACAGCTGCAATCAAATACCCAAGTGTCCTCAGATGCTTCTTTTTACCTTAGGATTGAATCTACTGCCAGGAAGGACTTGGGCTCACTTTAGTGTGTTACACTCTCTTCCCTGCTGCACAGAAAGTTGCAGATACACCACCCCGACCCCCAGTGTTAAAAACCACTTCACATTTAATGCTTCCTGTCACATTTAAGACAGGAGCTGAGGATGTTAGCATAAACTAAAACTGCATTAGAAACGGTAGCTTCGCTTTTATGCGATATAGGACAGTGGCCTGCTAATATGACAGATCCTTCACCCCTTCATGCAAAGTCTGTTGTGCCTCATCATCTGATTAAGGGAGTCGGATGAATGAAAAACAGACGGATACTGCGATTTAGCTCATCTTTTGCAAAATGCAAGCAGCTCCCCACTAGACTCTGCTGGGATGAAATGGAACAGATGTCAGCCTGCAGAGCACCTACAGCCTCGTGGTGAGGAGAGTGGAGACTCCTGCGCCAGAATAGACGCTTGTTCCAACTTACTCATTTTTAACTCAAAGCGTTAGGCTGATGCCAAAGCACCACATTCATTTACTCTTCCTCCAAAGTGCTGAAACTGTGACATTCAAGATGAAGTGCTTGAAATGCAAGAATCTGACTTCAATTCAAACACAGTAAACAGGAGAAAAACAGTGCTGAAAAGCTTTCCTTGAACCTCTGATGGCTACTATAGCTACACTGCAGAAAGCCTGCCAGTAAACCACTTTTAGAATAAGTGTTCTCTGTTCAACTTTGCCCAAAGGTGAAAGTTTCTTTTTAAAGCACAGTTCAAATTTATTCACTGTCACAAAGTACACCAAGAACCTGATTCAGCAAGAAACACACAGAATTTGTGTAACAAAAAAAAGACATCAGAGTTGAATCAAACCCTGAAGTTTTAGAGAGTAACACTCCTGTGTTACCTGCATATATCAAAGTCTCTGAATAATTAGACTTGTACATTTTGCCAAACCTTCTGGTATACTCCTCTCCACGATCCAGTTATATCGCACCAGGAAGTAAATTTTTAAAATGAGGGTCAATGAATGCCTCTGTCAACTATTTTTAGGTAAGGCTTTTTTTAAAGAACTGTGGAAATCCCACTGTTAACTGAGGCATAGGAACACCCAGATCAGAACAGCTGTTAGTGACTCTACGTGTCCTAAAAGCGTTCTACTACATGCAGAAGGCAGATTATGACAGAAAGAAGCTGGAAAAGATACTACATCAAATGATGGTGTACAGCAAAATGGGCTCCTCTTACTTGTTTTATAGGCTTGCTTTACAGATAGTGGATCTCTTGTTACTGTACTTGCAAAATGAAGGCAATTCCCACTCAAATAGGCTGGAACTGCTTGCAGTCTCAAGTGGGAGCAAAGGATCTAAAAACTGA